GGTTTTGTTTTGTTTTGTTTTTAATATAGATCAAGTATCTCAGGTATCATGCCCCAGAAGAACAGGTGGAAATCTGTCTGGGCACAGTGACTTGGGTGTGGAGATCTGTAGTCTCCTCTACTAAGATATAAGTTACTCTTTTCTGGGTAATATAGATTCCAGGGAGGGGTTCATGACAATCACATTTCTTCTGGAAGAACTGCTCTTAGTCAGACAAAGGAAACTTCAGAATAAGCCCCTCCTTGTACTTTGGGAGAGAAAAAGATTGGAGAGATGGGAGGCAGAGGAAGGTCAGAGAGACCTTAGTCCTGAGGCTCCTTCCTCAGTTCAAAGTACTCAGCATGTCAAAGTACCATACTTAGGATATAATTTTCAGAACCCCCAAAAAAAGGAAGAGAGGAAAGAAAGAGGGAGAGAAGAAAGAGGGAAGGAAGAAAGGGAGGTAAAAGAGGAAATTCCAAGGTTTAGAACTAGGTGTCGATGAAAAAGAAAAATTCTGTAAAATATATATATACATTTTTTTTTTTTTTGAGTTGGAGTCTCACTCTGGCACCCAGACTGGAGTGCAGTGGCATGCTCCCTGCCACCGCAGCCTCAACCTGCCGGGCTCCGGCGATCCTTCCGCCTCAGCCTTCTAAGTAGCTGGAACTACAGGCGCGCGCTACCATGCTGATTTTTGACTTATTGTAGAGATGAGGTCTCTCCAAGTTGCCCAGGCAATCCATTCACCTCTGCCTCCCAAAGCGCTGGGATTACAGGCTGAGCCACCGAGCCCAGCTTACTGTAAAATATTTAAAGAGATTTATTTTGAGTCGATTATGAGTGTCCAAGGCCTAAGGCACAGTACCAAGAGGTCTTGAGAACATTTGCCTAAGGTGATTGAATTACGGCTTGGTTATATACATTTTAGGGAAACAAGTTGCAGGCAAATTAATTAATTAAGTATTTAAAAAACACACGTGAGGTTTATATCAGTTGGACCCAGAAAGGAAGGACATCTCAAAGCAGGAGACTTACAAATCATAAGTGAATTCAAAGATTTTCTGACTGGCAATTAGTAGAAAGAGTTAAACTCTGTCTAAAGAATTTCAAACCAGTAAAATACTTGAGTTAGGGTAAGAGAGATTGTAGTAGCCAAGATTCATGTTATGTAGATGATGCCTCTAAGTAACAGGCTTCAGAAACAATAGGCAGGCCAGACCACAGTGGCTCAAACCTGTAATCCCAGCACATTGGGAGGTCAAGGTGAGAGGATTGCCTGAATCCATGGGTTCAAGAACATCCTGGGCAACTTGGTGAGACATCATCTCTACTATAAATCAAAAAATTAGCCAGGTGTGGTAGAACGCACTTGTAGTTCTGGATTCTTGGAAGGCTAATGTGGAAGGATCACCTAAGTCCAGCAAGTCGATGCTGCGTTGGCCGTGAGCATGCCACTGCACTCCAGCCTGGGCAATGGAGTGAGACTCCAACTCAATAAATAAATAAATAATTTTTTTAAAAAAGAAACAATAGGCAGTAAATGTCTTAAAAGGTATTCAACTCCTCCTAGGGTTGGAAAGTCTATACAGATGTGAATTTGCCAAAGAGACAACTTTGCAAGGTCATCTCAAAATATGTCAAAGAAACATACATTGGGGTAAAATATTTTTATTTTCCTGAGGGCCTGCTGTCATGTGAGGATATCTCAGAGTCAGGTTGGAATTTGATATCTTATTGTCAGAGTCTGTTTGTCAGTCTTATGCTCTCTATTTTAATGTAAATGCTTTCAGTTGTGCCTAAATTCCACAAAGGAGGGGCAGAGGCATGTCCAAACTCCTCTCCTGTCATGGCCTGGAATTTAGTTTTTCCTGTTTCCTTTGGCTCAGGCGTTCAGTCCGTCAGGGTCTTAAAATTTTATTTTTTACACAGAAAACCTTAGAACTTTATAATTTATCTCTAGAAATTATTGGCCACCCACTGGAGAAGGAAGGCAGTGGGGGGAAGGCACATCAAGACGGGGAAGTGGCACCACCTGTGGAGTTCTGCTGAGGTTGACAGGATGGCAGGCTGCCATCCGTGCAGTGATGACTGGGTTAAAAACAACCAACACCAACCGTTAAGGGTTCAAGTTGCAACAGTGCTAGACCAAAGATCATCAATGTAACCGTGACTATTAACGGTCATTCTCATGGAGATGACAATCCATTTGCAGAATACATGTGGATGGAAAATGAAGAGGAAGTCAACAAATAGCAAAGGAGTTAACAGGAAGAATTTATGGAACACTGTTTCCAAAAAATGCAAGAAGAGGAAAAGAACATAAGTGGTTTATTCCAGTTCTAGACTTCTCACAAGCTGTGTACCAAATCCAAGATCAATTCAATGGCCCTATTATTAATAATGATTCTTCTCTAGAAGATTTTGTGGTCAAGACCAGTCTGAGTCCAAATGCAAAGGAGTTTATTCCTGAGATGAAATATTAACATATTTGAGTATGGCGGGAGTCCCTTTTGGTAGAGGATTTGGACTGTATTTTTTAAGACTAAAAAGGTTACTTGGGGTTAACTAGTACTTGTTAATATCTAAACTTTTTTAAATGAGTAAATGTAAATTAAGTTCTAATTTCTAAACCTGTTTCTCAGTTCACAATTAAATTTGCATTTGTCCCCATCAAAAAGAAACTCCTTTTTCTGAAGAAAGCCTGTTGGTTAATTTAAAATAATTCCTTATAGACAAGTATGTCTTTGGTTACTGAGGTAGTGATCAGATAAGAATTAGTGATCAGATAAGAATTAGTTCTAGCTTTTATGATATGGTGTCATGCTAAAAATATTAAATTCTGTTTCCAATGTAGCATGTGATTTGAAAGTTTTATCTTCTTCTAAGGAATCACTACATCTTAACTATGCCTATGTGAAGTCTAACCTTTGACCAACCCCACTCCAGCTGAACAAAGAGATTGTAACATTATGATTTGAGTGGTGCTTTTCCTTGCTTTGTTAATCATCACAATAGTCTGCAGAAAACTTTTTTTTTTACAAAGCTAGAACAACTTTGGCTCCTTAAATTTCATATTTGGGCGGGTTAAACCACCATACCTGTTTAGTATAAATAGAATTTAAATTGAAAATATTGTAAAAAATTTTATTTTTCAAAAATATTTTAAAATAATAGCAGAAAAAGTTATTGCCCCCCCCCCCAGCCCTCTTGATGATGCAACTCATCAAAATAAGAGTGATACAAGGGAGGAGAAGGTGACCCTGGAGAACCCATTCAGAATCAGAGCAGATCTACAGCTTAAGGGCCTCCCTAGGGACCTCCCTCCAAGGTCTAGAGCTGAGATCATGTTCCCCTGGCCATTGTTATTTGGAAAGCAGAGTTAAGAAGGCTTCCCTTTGGACAGAAAGATTATGGGGCTATTTCTTTACTCAGAAGTTCCACCTCTGCAATCCTCTAAAAGAAGAACAAGGTGAGGGAACCTCACAGAACTCTGATCACACTTGTGACTTTTGCTCCAGTGTTGGAAAGGATGCCATCCAGGTTTCCTCCACCAAGAGCAACTATTGTTGACCTAGGAAGCCCAGATGAAGATAAATCTTCTTCTCATTTAAATCTATCTTCCAGCCGGGCTCAGTGGCTCAGTCTGTAATGCCGTGATTTGTGAAACTAAGGTGAGTGGCTTGCCTGAGCCCGCAGGTTTGAGACCTGCCTGGGTAACTTGGCGAGACCTCATCTCTACAATAAAATAAAAAAATTAGCCGGGTGTGGTAGCGTGTACCTGTAGTTTCAGCTACTTGGAAGGCTGAGGCGGAAGGATTACCGGAGCCCAGCAGGTCAAGGCTGCAGTGGCCGGGAGCGTGCCACTGCACTCCAGTCTGGGCAACAGAGTGAGACTCCAACTCAAAAAAAAAAAAATCTATCTTCCTCCTAAAAATATCCACTCTGGGAACCCTTGAGGGTACAAGTCATGAATAGAGATCAGATTCTCCTTGATAAACCTCCTGAGTTACCCATCAGGGAGAGGGAGGGATACTTTACCTTTCTCTGATCTAGACTAAACCCTGTAACTAGCCATTTTACCAGGTAATTTTAAATCTCTCCACACTGTTTTTAGCCTTTAACATCCCTGTAATATACAGTAGATGGTCCAATTTGATCTGCATTTACCCAAATCCATTGGTAGCAATCAAAGAATATCCCCTTTGTGGGCTCTCATGTTAAATCCTGAGATTGCAATGAAATCACTGGGCATCATTGATTCACAGAAACCCTGGAATGGGATGGTCTTGGAATGACTGATGTGCACTGCCTTCACCTCCATTTGAGAGCTTCCTCTCCCTGGCTTCCATGAAACCAGCACACCGATGTGCCACGTGTGCATGAGTTGACACAGAAGAGGAGAAGGGACTTCTATTTAGTACCAGAGACACCCAAGGAAGATTGTTTCCCCATCTTTATAATTTCTAAACTGGAATGAACTTGAGAAATTATCTTGTTTTTCACATTGGTTTTTTGTTTTGTTTTTGAGAAATGTAAGTGATTTACGAGCTTACAGTGGCAGAGAAAGACTGTCACCATCTCCAAGTGTCACAAGACCTCTATCAATCACTCAGATCCTCATCATGGTCTGTCTTACAGATGGTCAGCCATCTGTCTTACAGATGGTCACTATGCCAGTCAGTCTTCTGTGGTTTGAGCTCAGTTCCTCTCAGTGCTCTGGAGTCACCAACTCATTTCCTTTCCTTCTCCATTCTGAATAATTCCTATTCTCTTCTCTTGCTTTTCTAGGTCTGATTCTCTAAATTTTTCCTCTCCATCTTGGCCAATAGGTTACTGCCCTGATTGGGAAAGGCCTGATGCAATCCAACAAGGCAAGCCTGCCTCTGCTACATAAACTGTCCTGGGTCTTCCCCAAGCCCTTACTAACAATGTGTTGTTTCCCAGGTGTGCTCTGAAACTGATAACCCATTGGAGTACTCTTCAGTTCTTGCGGCTCTGAGGAAAGACTTGAATGCTCCATGGAAGTCAGCAACATAACTACAGTCACTGCGTTTGTTCTCTTAGGACTATCCAACAACCCTCAAATCCAGGTACTCCTCTTTGTTCTGTTCCTGATGATTTACCTCTTGACCCTCTTGGGGAACCTGCTGATGCTGCTGGTGATCAGTACTGATTCCCACCTCCACACGCCCATGTACTTCTTCCTGAGACACCTCTCCTTCCTGGATGCTTTCTATTCCTCCATCATTGTGCCTAAACTGCTAGAGAACCTTCTCTCTAAGTGGAAGACTACAACCCTCCTTGAGTGTTTCACACAAATCTCCCTGGTCATATTCTCTGGAGCCACTGAAGCTTGCCTCCTTTCGGTCATGGCGTATGACCGGTTTCAGGCTGTGTGCCACCCACTGATGTATACGGTGGCTATGAGCAAGAGGGTATGTTCTGCCCTGGTGGGGGCGTCCTGGGTTATAGGAATGGGGACTGGTCTCATTAACACCCTCCTTCTGGCTCAGCAGCAGTTCTGTGGCCCCAACCTCATTCGCAGTTTTGCCTGTGAGCTTCCTCCAGTGCTCTTGTTGGCCTGTTCTGACCCCTTCATTAGCCTCACCTCCATCCTGACCACCATGGTGGTGCTGGGGCTTGGCACTCTTGTCCTATTGCTGGGTTCCTATAGCCGTATCATCGTGACAGCCCTGAGGATCAGTTCTGCCACGGGTCGGAGCAAGATCTTCTCCACCTGCTCTTCTCATTTCCTTGTGATCTCCATCTTTTACGGTTCAGGAGTTTACAGGTATGTGATACTGAATTTAAATGAGGGCTATTCCTTACCCTAAAATGGCCTTGGTCTGTAGAACAGAGCATTGTAAAGTAGAAGGAAATTCAAAAGGCCTAGGCTCTAGTTCTGGTTCTGCTGTGGACTAACTGTGTGAATTGTGAAGAATTCATTTTCTTTCTGAAGGCCTCAATTGTCTATTCTGAAAAATGAACTTAGACAAAGATAAAGATTGTCCCACTTACTTTACCTATGATATGATTTGGGAGTTCTCAGAAAGAAACCAAAAAGCCTGTGGCAGATTATTATTCAGTGCTAGACAAAAAAATAAATACATAAAACCTATACTTGAAACTTTCCTACTGGAAGGTGGTCTCCAAAGCTTGTTTATATTATAACTATTTATGAGGCAGCTGCTATACACCAGCTGCTTCTCATGGTCAAGTTCAATTTCAGTATGCATCATACTACAAAATAGATATTATTAACCCACTTTCAGGTAAAGAGCCTGAGTTTTGGGAATAATTGGGAATTTCTTGGCAGTTACAGAGCAAGCTGGTAATGGAGCCATAAACTGACCCAAGATCCATGCTCTTTCCTTCCATGTTTCTCTCAGACATAAACAGCTCTAGCTGATGAGTCCTCCCTACTAGGAGACAGAGCAATTCATGTCTGTGCATTCTACTTGTAAACTGAAGGTGGATTTGCACAAGTTGCTCAATACTTTTCTCACCCATTTGTGACTAGGAGAGAAGTCGGGGGTGGAAATTGATGATAAGGAGTAGTCCAAGAGAGCTCAACTGAGCTGTGGAAAAATCTCTTCACCTCCCTTTGTCTCAGTTCCTCGTATATGCCATAAAGAATATAACTACTGACTGGGCTCAGTGGTTCAGCCTGTAATCCCAGCACTTTGAGAGGCTGAGGCAAGTGGATTGCCTGAGCCCATGGGTTTGAGATCAACCCAGGCAATTTGGCGAGACCTCATCTCTACAATCAAATCAAAAATTAGCAGGGCATGGTAGCACGTGCCTGTAGTTCTGGTTGCTTGGAAGGCTGAGGCAGAAGGATTAATGCTGGGGTGACCTTGAGTGCGCCACGGCACACCAGCCTGGGCGACAGAGTGAGACTCCATCTTAAAACAAAAAAACAAAAAAACTTCCCCTGCTGATGGACAAAAAGTTATGTCCGTTTTGTTGCTATAACAATAATATCATAAAACATTTTACACATGTAGCCTTACGAACTAGATGGTTTTACTTCTGTAGGATAGGGTCAAAGGATTGGTGTATTTTTTTATTTAAATGAACAGATAGGCAATCTTCCAACAAAATGAAAGTGATTCAGATCACCATCAGTGTTGTGATGACTTTTTGAAATCTTGAAACTTCAAGGATTCCAAGACCTTCCAATAATAAATAATGAGAATCTGTTTCTGGGTTTTCTGTTCTGTCCTAAACATTCATTTTTCTATTCTTCAACCAATATCATAGGTTTTACTTGCAATAATCTATGCTTTCTACTCTTAGACATTTGTTTCAAACTTCAAAATCATTTTAAGTAGGGCAACCCCTTTGGGTCCCCTCCCACTGTGGGAGATTTTCTGTCCTCTTAATAAGTCCTGCTTTCTTAAAAAAAAAAAAATCATTTTAAGTAGTAAGTAACCCAAAATTTTTTCATTGAGATTGAGATTGCAATTGCATTGAGTCATACATTAATTTGGTACAAATTGACTTATTAAGAATTTCTATTCAGAATTATAAAATGTATTTCCCTTATTTAGTTCTTGGTCTATATCCCTCAATAAACTACATACTTTTCATCATTGATCCTGTACCTTTGTTGTGCTAACACATTTTCATCTCCCACTTTCCCAGTTTTGACTTCTCTTCCAAACCAAAGAAAAATGCAGCATAAAGGACAAATGTTTGTTCAGCTAAGCATCATAAAATAATGTTATGGTTCTGAGGGTAATGCCTAGGGCCATAAATGTTAAGAACAATGACAGCATTTTGGACAAAGCATGCAGTTTAACAAGAAGTCATCACAAAGATGACAACATAGTGTGTCTGCACTGTTGTGTATATAGAGAAAAAAGATAAAAACTCATATTATCATCATAATTCTTTTTTTTTTTTGAGTCAGAGTCTATTTTCCAACACAATCTATTTCCAACACAGCAACCCAAGTGAACATTTTTTTTTATTTATTTATTTGTTGGTTGGTTGGTTGGTTTATTTATCTATTGAGTTGGAGTCCCACTCTGTCACCCAGACTGAAGTGCAGTGTCACACTCATGGCCACAGTAGCCTTGACCTGCTGGGTTCAGATAATCCTTCCACCTCACCCTTCCAAGTAGCTGGAACCACAGGCAAGTGCCACCACGCCTGGCTAATTTTTTTATTTATTGTAGAGACGAGGTCTCACCAAGTTGCCCAGGCTGATCTTGAACCCTTGGGTTCAGGCAATCCTCTTGCCTCGGCCTCCCAAAGTGCTGGGATTACAGGCTTGAGCCTCTGTGCCTGGTATCATCATAACTATTTTTTTTTTTTTGAAAGTAGGATTTATTGAGAGGACAGAAAAGTTCCCACAGTGGGATGGGACCTGAGGGGGTTGTCCCATCATAACTATTAAGAACAAATGAGCCAGGCTCGGTGGCTCAGTCTGTAATCCCAGCGCTTTGGGAGGTTGAGGTGAGTGGATTGCCTGAGCCCGCAGGTTCAAGACCCGCCTGGGCAACTTGGCAAGACCTCATCTTTACAATAAATCAAAAAATGAGCCGGCCGTGGTGACGCACACCTGTAGTTCCAGCTACTTGGGAGGCTGAGGCGGAAGGATCACTGGAGCCCAGCAAGTGGAGGCTACAGTGGCTGGGAGTGGCCACTGCACTGCAGTCTGGGCGACAGAGTGAGACTCCAACTCAAAAAAAAAAGAACAAATGAAGCCGGGCTCGGTGGCTCAGCCTGTAATCCCGTGCCTTGGGAGGCTGAGGTGAGTGGATTGCCTGAGTCCATGGGTTCGAGACCCGCCTGGGCAACTTGGTGAGACCTCATCTCTACAATAAATCAAAAAATTAGCCAGGCGTGGTAGTGCGCATCTGTAGTTCCAGTTACTTGGAAGACTGAGACGGAAGGACCGCCGGAGCCCAGCAGGTCGAGGCTGAGGTGGCCGGGAGCGGCCACTGCACTCCAGTCTGGGTGACAGAGTGAAACTCTGACTCAAAAAAAAAAAAAGAACGAATGAAGAGTGTGAAGTGCTATGAAAATGCATAAACTGTACGGGCTCGGTGGCTCAGCCTGTAATCCCAGCACTTTGGGAGGCCAAGGTGAGTGGATTGCCTAAGCCCGCCAGTTCAAGACCAATCCAGGCACCTTGGCAAGATCTCGTCTCTACAATAAGTCAAAAAATTAGCCAGGCGTGGTAACACACACTTGTAGTTCTGACTACTTGGAAGGCTGAGGTGGAAGGATTGCCAGAGCCCAGCAGGTCGATGCTGGGGTAGCTGTGAATATGCCATTGCACTCCAGCCTGGGCAATAGAGTGAAACTCCAACTCAAAAAAAAAAAAAAATGGATAAACATTATTATTAGTTCTAATCTGCAACTTTTGATTTGCTTGCTGCAGAACTTTCTTTTCCTCAGGGAAGCTCCTATAACTTTCTGTGCAAGGTCATCCATGTTTGGAGGCTTTTGAAGGCAGGGATGAGATGGACTGTTGCTGACAACAATATTGCTGTCATTGTCATGAGTTCAGTTTGCTTCTTTGTGCAATTCCCTTCAAGGTACATGACTCCAGCATCTGGCTCAGCCCTGGAGCAAGTCCTCTCCGTGCAGTACAGTGTGGTGACCCCGCTGCTAAACCCCCTCATCTACAGTCTGAAAAACCAGGAGGTAAAGGCTGCTCTAAGGAGAATGCTGGCCAAGAAGTCCAGGCTTACCATGTAAGCCAGGCTCCCCTGCCTCACAAGGAAGAAAACTTATGGGGAGAAGAGGAGACAGGAAGAGGTATCACCACTCAGCTATCTCAGCATTCATCCCTTTTCAAAACAAGAGCCTTAGTTTCTCTTTCTCTAGTGCCCTGCACCCAATCAAGGGAGATGGAAACCACCACAGAGCAGGTGACACCCATCCACTGGGTTCCCAGTTGCTACACAAGAAAATCCTCAGGGCTTTGCTGGCCATTTCTACAGCTACTGTTTTTTCTCTCATTTTTTTGCCCTTTTCTATCCCTCCCCTTTCTGCCTCTCCTTTTTACTTTTGTCTATTCACAAAAGGTAACTCAATCTATCAGACCACTAGTATATATTCTGCTGCATTCTGGGAAAGTCCCAGCTTGGCACTGTGAGACCCAGCTCTCCATTTGTTTGTATCCCAAAAAATCCCTGGAAAGATCAACACCTCTATAATAACTTAGAAATAAATAAAAATAAGTGTGTCTCCTCCTGTCTTCAGCCTTAACAAGCAGCACACAAAGTAGAACCTAAGCCAGGAGTGGTAGCACACACCTGTAGTTCCAGTAACTTGAGTGGATGAGGTTGGAGGATCCCATGAGCCCAGGAGTTCAAGGCTTCCATGAGCTATCATTGTACCATGACACTACAGGCTGGACAACATAGCAACACTCTGTCTCTAAAAAATAAATGAATAAAATAGAACCCAGAAAATAGCAAATCCAGGAAGGGCTCAGTGGCTCAGCCTGTAACCTCAGCACTTTGGGAGGACGAGGCAAGTGGATTTTCTGTGCCTGCGGGTTCAAGACCAGCCCAGGCAACTTGGCGACACCTCATCTCTACAATAAATCAAAAAATCAGCCTGGTGTCATGATACACGCCTGTCGTTCCAGCTACTTGGAAGGCTGAGACTCAAGGATCACCGGAGCCCAGCAGGTTGAAACTGAGATGGCCATGTGTGTGCCACTGCACTCCAACCTGAGCGGTGGAGTAAGACTCCAACTTAAAAAAAAAAGAAAAAGAAAAGAAAATAGCAAATCCTCAATAACCATTTGTTGACAAATTAAGGAATGAATGAAGAAATAAATGTGGATCCATCTGAAGAGTCTTTTTTCTCTTGCATGATCCTAGGAAATTGGAGGAGGTGAGTATCACCCCTAAAGTCTTTTTTTTTTTTTTTTTTTCTGAGTTGGAGTCTCCCTCCGTCGCCCAGGCTGGAGTGCAGTGGCATGCTCATGGCCACCGCAGCCTCGACCTACTGGGCTCAGGCGATCCTTGTGCCTCAACCTTCCACATAGCTGGAACTACAGACACACGCCACCACACCTGGTTAATTTTTTGATTTATTGTAAAGACAAGGTCTCACCAAGTTGCCCAGGCTGGTCTCGAACCTGTGGTCTCAGGCAATCCTCTCACCTCGGCCTCCCAAAGTGCTGGAATTATAGGTGTGAGCCACCCCACCCAGCCAAGTGTAAGTCTTAAGTGCAAAACCTCTGTCTAATAGTTTTTATATTTCTGGTGTCTAGTACATCCTGCCACCTAATAGTCTCTCAACTAGTGTCCAATACATGGAAAAGAAATGAATGAATGAGAGAAAAGGAGTTGGAGAAGAAACATATGAAAAGAAATATTTAATTTCATCCTACCTTCATAGCAAGATAGGTGTCAGAGGAAAGTAGCAGGGAGGAAAAAGCAAGATAGAAGGAGAGTAAGGGACTCCATATTTTGGGACAAAAATCTCCATCCCTCTCAGTGAATGGTCTGTACTCTTCCCTGAGCTTCCCAACTCCCACCTTAGCCTGGACCATCTTAGATCCCTGCCTGGCTCAGAACCTTGTTCCAGGCCTAGAGGAAAAAGAAAGAGTTGAAGAAAGCAGAACAGATGTTCAGTTGCCAGCCTGCCTCCCTTTCAGCTCCCAATAAAGTTCTCAAGAAAAGAGCTTCAGTTTCCTGTCCTGCTTCTACCCAAAGGCCAGGAGGTCTGCATCTGTGAAGACTGCTTCCTTGCCAAAAAAAAAAGGTAACTATGTGAGATGAAGGATATATTCATTAGGTTGATGGTAGTGATCATTTCAGTGTATGCATATGTCAAATCAAGTTGTATCCCTTAAACATATACAATTTGTATTTGTTTAAAAAAAAAAAAAAGCAGGAGGAGGACAAGGAGATAAAGAAAACTCTTGGAGACTCAGTATATCATAAAAATGATCTACTGTACTTGACCAGATAAAGGCGGCAACTTTTTTTTTCATTTATTTATTTATTCATTTTCTAGAAAGAAGTCATAATTCAGTGGATGCTATCCTAAACATTTAAATAAAATATATGCATATGATAGTGGGGGAAAAAATTAGTGCAGACCAAGAGAGAGTGTGTCTGAGAATTCTGAATGCAGACCTCAAATGCCTTACAGTGTTGCTTATACCAAGAAACATGATGTTTTGTTCATTTATTTCACAGATCATTTTACAAATGAACACACTAAAATGGAACACAGTAAAAACACATAAAAACTGCTCCAGGGCAACCTCTTTCAAGTCCCCTCCCAATGTGGGAGATTTTCTGTCTTCTTAATAAATCCTACTTTCTAAAAAAACAAACAAACAAACAAACAAAATCATCTGCTCCACAGTACTGGCAAACTGTAGACATCCATAAACATTTGTATCATAGTCCTCTGTAATAAAATATGAATGACCATTTTTTTTGTTTTTTTTTGTTTTTTTTGTTTTTTTGAGTTGGAGTCTCACTCTGTCACCCAGACTGGAGTGC